CTTCTCCTCCTCCTCCTTTCCTCCTCCTCCTCCTTTCCTCCTCCTCCTCCTCCTCCTCCTCCTCCTCCTCCTCCTTCTTCGCTTGAGGAGCCCAGGCTGGCCCAGAACTTCTAAGCCTCAGCCTCCCAAGCACTACTGTAACGGCTCCTGGGCAGCTCCATCTATTTTCTTTTACTGTTAGCTCTCCCTGCGTTCTCCTGCCTCACGGAAAGCTGAGCCTCCAGTGCCAGGAACAGCCCCAGAACATGCCAGTCCCTCAGGAGGCACAGCCAAGACATGGGGCCCAGAGAAGAGCAGGCCGGAGTCTCAGCCAGCTCCAGCTAAACCCTGCTCACTTTTGAAAGGCAAAGGCCGCAACTCAGGGACCAGAGAGCCCAGGCAAAGCCCCTCGGGGCTGCCCATGAGGCCCTGGGGATCCAGTCAGGCAGGGGAACCAGGTGTTGGGATGGTGCTGCCTGCCTGGAGTCGTCCACAAGACCACGCAGCGGCCACGGCTCACTCACCACGGTCGTGTACAAGGTGCAGATTACTCCCGTGGACAGTAGCGACGCCCAGATGTCCAACCCGGTCACTGCAAAACACACCTCCTGTCAGGCTTCCAGCTTCTGCGTGCTCATACAAGGTCCAGCCTGGGCTCCTGGGCGCCCGGCCCCTCCCCCGCCCGCCAGTCAGACCTTGGTTCAAGATGAGCGCGGGTGCGTAGATCACGATGCCTGTGTACAGCATCTGTGGGTGAGGAGGGACGTGAGATAGGGGGCGAGGAAGAGGGCGGGGACAGAAGGAAGAGGGCGGGTCCAGACGGAGGGAGGGGCGCGGCTAGGTTACCAGAGGGCGATTTTAGGAGGGATGGGGTGGCGCTGGGCAGGGGGGTGGCGCTGGGCAGGAGGGTGTCTCTAGGCAGGATGAGAGCGGAGCTATGGGCGTGGTCCCAGTTGGTCCCTAGGAAGCTGAGCTCACGCGGGTAGGGGCGGGGCCAAGCAGGATGGGGGCGTGGCGTGTGGGCAGGTTGGGGCGGGATGAGTGTCTGGTGTGGGCGTGGTTGGGCGGGCAGCTTGCTCACCGTGGCCACCAGGTACTGCAGCGTTCCGCAGAGCCGCACCACTCGGCTGAAGCGAAGTTCTAGGTACTGAAGAAGGAGTCAGAGCTGGAGGTCACCGGGAACATGACCCCTCAGCCACCCTCCTTGTTCTCCCTCTCTCCCGGGTGCCCACCCGCGCTTACACAGTTCTTTTGAGTCAGGGTTCTGTGTGTAAATCAAGCTGACTTAGAACTCGAGGCAATCCTCTTGCCCGAGCTTCTCGAGTACTGAGATATATCAGGTATAAGCCTTCAATTGTCACTACCCTTGTTGGACGGTTGCAGTGTGTCCAGCTGTGCCCGCAGATTTGAAGCTGAGAGCCTAGTGAGCCCAGGTTGGCCTGAAACTCAGGGTGATCCTCCTGCCTCAGTCTCCCCAGTGCTGAGACTACAGGTTGGGGCCATCTCGTTTGCACTAGGTGTTGAAAGGTTGGGAAATCCTGCAGGGCCCTGGTCTCGCTGCAGGTGTTTGAACCGTGTGCGGACGCGGGTGGGTGGCCCGTCCCGGGCGCACACGGGGACAGGTGTCAGCGGGAAGTCACCGCCCCTAGGCTGCTTTGAGCTGTGGGACCCGGACTCTTCCTCTTTCCTGGCCCTGCCCTGCGCCCGGGGCATCTTCCCGGAACATTCCCGCGGGACCGGGTCCCCTACCTGGTAGGTGCTGGTGAGGCCCAGGCGGTAGAAAACTGGCAAGAAGACCAGCGCGGTGAGCAGCGAGTTGAGCAGCTGGCCCGCGCACATCCACAGGAACTTGAGACCATAGCGCGCCGCCTCGGCGGGGACCCCGAGCACCTGCACCGCCGACATGAAGCTGGCGGCCAGCGACAGCCCCACGGGCACGGCCGCCAGCTGCCGACCCCCAGTGAAGAAGTCGTCGGCGTTGCGCTGGCCGCCGCGGGCCAGGCCGACCCACAGTCCGATGCCCGTGGACACCAGCAGCATGGCCGCGAACACGCCGTAGTCCCAGGCGCCGAAGGTGGCTGGTGGCCCGGCTTCTGCCCCCTCCATGAGGACAGGTGACTCGGTGCAGGGAGGATGCGGAGACTTGCAGGACCCTCGGTGAGTGCGTGCAAGGCAGGCAGCGCGCGACCAGCCGTGCGTGCGGTCGGTGCCCTCCGCTCCGCGCGCTGAGGATTTATTGGGCTCCGGGGTCAGTGCAGCTCCGCCCCCAGGCTGGGAGGCGGGCGCGACCCGCACCCTTTCCACCCTGGGGCGAGCGGGCCTGCAGGGGTGCGGGCGGTGGGGGGGGGACTCCTCCGCAACACTCGCGTCTCCTGACACTTTCTCTCACATCCAGGGCTATGGACAGACAGGGCATTGGAGGCTAAAACCCGCACTCACACAGTCTGCCGGGTTTTGGTACCCGGAGCTACGAGGAGCCTGGCACTGGGATTTCCTTTGTGTGTGTGGGGGGGGAAAGCTACCGGGCTCTGTAAGAAAAAGTTCTGTAAGAAAAAGACCTCCCCCAGAGGACGTCTGTCTTTCGCAGTGTGGGACAGGGAACTGTCCAACCTTGCCCTCCAGCCAACCCCGGTGGGAGGCGCTCTGGGCTTCCCAGTGAGAACATACTTGGAGAAGTTTTTCTTCTGTTTAGGTGTTTAGTACTCATTTTCTCCGCCGGTACAAGGGCAGTCTGGAGTTACTTCCCTCTGTGTGCGTGTGTGTAACTGTGTGTGGTGTGTCTGTGTGTGGTGTGTGTGTGCCTGTGTCTGAGGCAGCTCAGGCCGGGATGACAGGAGTGTGCTCCACACCCGTCCTGGCCCTCCGCTCCTTCCCTTCCTGTCTTCTCTTCCTTCCCTCCCACAGGCTGACCTTGAAGCTGTGGCAATCCTCCTGCCTCAGCTTCCCTAGGGCTGGGTTGGCAAGTGTGGACCAGCCTCCCTGTGCAAACTCTGCTGCTCGTTCTTTGAGCGCCCGTCCTTTCCTTCAATTGCTGTTTTTTTGGGTTTTTTTTTGTTTTTGTTTTTTGTTTTTTTTTTTGCGAAGACCTGGGTCCTGGGTTGGTCATGGTTTTCAAGGGAACGAGGACTTGGCCTGAGGCTTGGGACGATGCAGCCAGAGGCTCAGATTTCACCATGGAACCCTTCCTGGATGAGCTGGTGGTGAATCTGGGGTATCCAGTGTTAATTCCCTGTCGAGTCCCCCACATTTCAGGCGATCTGGCAGGTAGAGGACCTGATTGCCTCAGGCTGTAGACCTGCCCAAAGTGCCTAGTTCCCCTCCGTATTTCCCCATGGGATGGACGCTGTCTCCATCTGAGGTGAATGCCACCGTGTTTCCCCATGGGATGGACGCTGTCTCCATCTGAGGTGAATCGCCAGGCAGGGCCCCAAGGCAGCAAGGGGTCTGAGGCAGGGAGGAGCTGGAGGTACAGGCAATTACCGGCTCCCAAGTCTTGCTGTCAAGGGCACTGGGTGGTAGGTGGGGACACTTCGGAAAACGTTGAACGTTTTCAGGTCTTCAAAATGCTTCGGGATGGGTAGAGCTAGGGGGAGATTGACAGGCATGGGGCACTCTGGAGCCTAAGGGGTCTGGAGAGGCAAGCCTTTCCAAAGCAGGACTGCTGTTCTGCATAGGCTACAGGTGTTGAGCTGACAGGTGGGGACACACTAGCGGTCCTAAGCCTTGTGCTCAACGTTTTAGCATCACATAGAGCTGGGCCCAAGTCTTACAGCTGTTTTACACAATTGGCAGTTGGTTTTTTAAAACTGGTTTGTTTGTGTAGTTCTTACTCTCCAAGTCGCTCTGTAGATCCGCCTTTCTCTGGCTCCTGAGTGCTGGGATTACAGGCGTGGGCCACCATCACTTGTCTTGTAAAACAAGACAGTGCTTCATTGTAGCTTTGGAACCTGTCCTGAAATTAGCTCAGAGATCCTGCCTCTGGCTCCTGTCTGCTGGGATTAAAGGCGTGCACCACCACCACCACCCTGTAGTAGTTGTCTTTTTATAGCTCATTCAGGAGGCAGGCCAAAGCTACCATTAACAAAACCCGAAACTGTGTTAAGGGTGAGGGACAGGTGGACGGGAATGCGGGCGCCTGCAGGTGAGAGCACTGAGCCCAAGGCCCTGAGGACCAAGCCAGGTGCAGGGGCTCTTCGCAGTCCCAAAGCACTGGCTGGCAGCCACACCCACTCCACCTACACAGGTGGGGCAAGTAGAGGACAAAGAAGCTGTGCTCTTTATCTTTTGGTTGATGTTAGGACTGAGTCCCAGTAACCGCAAATCTGTACTGCTGTCTCCAGGGGACCAGATGCCCTCTTTTGGCCTCCAGAGGTAAGGAGTGGGGGTTAAAATGTGTACAAACCTCAAGCCAAATCTTACTTGTTGACAGGGTCTAACAAGCTCATTACTTTTATTGCTCTTCCACACCAGCTCTTAGCCACTGCACCAGCAGGAAGGCTGTTAGGATAGTCTTGAACCCTGCACACTCTAACATCACTGTATGCAGGGCGCGCCTGCACCACTTTCAGAATCCAGCCTGGCCATGATGGTGCTGGTCACACCTGACCTGGAGCCCCATGCCCCCACCACACCCCAGCTGTCTAGTCTGTAGCACCCACATTGACACTTGGAAAAATGCACCTCTGGTCCTCAAAGAGAGCCATGAGGCCCCGTCCCTAGGGCTTGGCTGGCCTCATTCCCACCAGTGGAGGTTTAGTGCCAGCAGGATAAGGGGCTCAACCAGGTCCTGGGGGGTAGATTAAGTTCATGCCTGAAATTCTCAGGTCTGAGCCAGCACCCAGGAGCCTGCAGAAACAGCCACCTCTCATTGTCACACTCAGGGCCTCAGACAGGAAGAGCTCACCCATGTAACCCGTGTTGAGGAATAATGTTCCTGGGGTATACATAGCTATAGAAAGAGGCCAAGCGTGTGTTTAGGTGCGCTCCCCCCCCCCGTGCTCCCGCATCAAACGAGCCAGGCAGAACTCTGGAGTTTTATTCAGTGTGTCTCTGGGTCTAGAAAAAGGTGTTAGGCCTCTTGGTAGTGAAGCGAGGCTTGTGCTGGCGCCGCAGAACACGGTGGGGCAGCGGGAACTTGATCTTGGAGTCCTGTGGGGAGGGAGGGGATGAGTGTCCAGGGATTAACCAGGCAGAACCACCCCCCACAGCCCTGCGTCAGCCCCCACTCAGGGCAACTCATGTGGAACTGTTTGACAGCCGTCCACACCCCCCACAGCCCTGCATCAGCCCCCACTCAGGGCAACTCACGTGGAACTGTTTGACAGCCGGCCTTCGACACTTGCCCGCAGCGATCTCTTCCACCTTCATGATCTGGATGGAGTGTGCACGGGCACGGTGCCGGGCACCCATGTCTCGGTCTGTGGAAGGAGAAGGAAGTCAGCCCCAGACGCATGGCTCCTGTTCCCAGGGCTGTGGAACCTCCTGATTCACTCTGGGAGGCACCGCACAGCCCCTCAAAGGCGACGAAATTCCTTTGCTGTGTGCACCACTGTTTAAACAGCCACTACAGGCAGCGGCAGTTCTTGGGTTGGGTGCAGGGCAGGGGTGGGGGAAGAGAGGCTGGGCTGGGGACTCACAGCACTGTGTGACAGCCCCAGCGGTGGTCAGGTCGCGGTACTCGCGGTACATGTTGTGAGTCCCACTGCGGGAGTCATAGCGCAGCCAGATGCCGAAGTTCTTCACGCGCAGGGGGGACTTCTCGAACACCTGCGGGCGGAGGGACAGTAAAGTGTGCTGCCCTGGCTCTGGGGTAGCCCAGGGACTGCCATACTGTGGGGCCCCGGGCCGCACCTGCCCACAGTACACGATCTCCCCGGATGACTTCTTCATCTTCTTCAGCTGCGACACGAAGTACCAGAAGCGGGACTTGGCCACCACATGGTTGGGCGCGAAGATGCGCATTCGGTACAGTGGGGGCGTGTGGCACTTTGGGGTGGGCAAGCAGCGCCCCACCACCTTGTACTCCCGGAGCTGAAAGAGAGGGTGGTGAGCATTGGTCTGCCTGTCACCCCAGAGGTAGCCACTTCAGAATGCAAGTGCCCTGCCATAGACTGCCTCAGTTTCCCAGCACTCAAGCCTAGGTCAGACTAGCTTTTCACAAGAAGGCAGGGGGATTCCATGCCCCCACGCCAGGTCAGCCCTGTGCCTGCACAAGCATAGGAAGGGCAGCTCGCAGCAATCCTCCTGCTCCCGGCGCTAGTGGGAGACACCACACCCTAGACGTTTACTTTTTTGCCCTTCCCAAGTGTTATACAAGTACCAGGCAGGCCAATCCGGCCTCCAATTTGGAAATAGCTAAGGATGACTCAATCCTGACCTACGTGCCTCTACCTCCCAAGCACTGAGATAACATGTGTGCAGCAACATGCTTGGTGGCTTCAGAGCCGGAAGGGGCCGCAATGCATGCTTGTCAAAGGCTCTAACTGAGGCAGAGCCCCACCTCCTCCCGTGTCTAAGTAACCCAGGTTAGCTTTGAAATTGAATGTCCTGTCTCGCCCTCCCGAACCAGGCAACCATATCTGTTTTTTTTTTCTTTTTGTTTTGTCGAGACAGGGTTTCTCATTGTAGCTTTTTGGTGTCTGTCCTGGAACTAGCTCTTATAGTTGTAACCAGTTATAGCCGGCATCGAACTCTGAAATCCGCCTGTCTCTGCCTCCCGAGTGCTGCGATTGCGATTAAAGGGCTGTGCCTCCACCGCCCGCCTTCTTTTTGTTTTTCTATACTAGAACTCGCGATAATCCTCCTGCCTCTACATTCCCGGTTCTGCTATCATAAGTTTGCGCCACTGTGCCAGGAAATTTCCCAGGAAGGCGGACCTTGGTCCATCGTCCTGGAGGGGGGGGAAGCCGGCCCCATCGGCTTGTGTAGCTGGGTATGCTGCCACATTCGCCCTGATCCGCCCGCTCCCTCTGCGGCTGCTTAGCACGCGGCGGCCGCCATGTTGCCGCGAGCCTGCGACCCGCGGATCGCTGCCCGTGCCCGGCGAGTGGGTCCCGGCGGCAGTGCCCGGCGCCATCACGGCACACACTCGCTCCGCGCGGTCCCGCCGCCAACGCCGCGCCCCCAGCCGCACCGCGTCCGCCTTACTGTGCCCGAGGCCTTCATGGCGGTCCGTCCTCGTTCGCCGCCAGTCACAAAAGGAAGTGTTACTTTCCGCGCAGGCTCTCACCATGTATTCCCTGACGGAAGTCCCGCCCTTCTCGATGCCGTGTGTCCATTGGATACATATACTAACGCTCTACGATCTTAGTTTCTCTATTGGTTACAGATCAGCTCCGTAACCCCCTCCCCAGCTCTCTCACGTGGAGACTACAATTCCCAGGAGGCAGCGAGGCAGCGCGACGAGCTTTACAAACCCCTCCGGAGTTACGACAGAGACTTTGCGCGCGGGGAATGCTGGGAATGGTAGGCGTAAAGGTGGTCTCGATTTCTAATTCAGCTGTCTTTTTTTTTTCCTTCCTTCCTATCTTTCGCTCTTTCTCCCTTCCTCCCTCCCTGCCTCTCTCCCTTCCCTCCCTTTTTTTTTTTTTTGTGTGTGTGTGTGGCTTGGTTTTTCGAGGCCTGATTTCTCTGTAGCTTTGGAGCCTGTCCTGGAACTAGCTCTTGTAGACCAGGCTGGCATTGAACTCAGATATCCTCCTGCCTCTGCCTCCTGAGTGCTGGGGTTAAAGGCGTGCGCCACCCACCACCGCCTGGCTCCTTCCTCTTTTTAAGTCATCTCCCTTTGTATCTACCAACTGTCACCCATCATCTGTCCATCTTTTTAAAAAATTGTGCTAATTCTTTTTTAGGTGTGTGAGTGTTTTGCCTGCAGGTATGTTTGCATCATCTGCGTGTCTGGTGCCTGCGGGAGGCCTGAAGAGAGCATCGGGTCCCTTGAGATTGGAGTTAAATGGTTGTGAACTAACATGTGGTTGCTGGGAATCGAGCCTGGGTCAGTACTCTTAGTTGCTGAACTATCTCTATCTCTCTAGCCCATTGATCTTTTTATCCCTCCCTGCTCACTCCAGTCCCTGTGACTTTCAGAAATGGGGAGGATTCTGCACCCAGCCCTCAGGTGTTCTGTCTGGTCCCCGGGTTTTCCTCACAGAACACACCCAGACATTCTCAGCACCCAGAGGGACAACTGAGACTAGGTGCCTCTGGATCCCATAGAGGTGCCAGCAGGTGTCTGTATATGTGGGAGGTCTGTGCCAGGATGAGCTGGTCAGTCCTGACTGGACAGGTTAGCCGATGTAGCCAAATAATGGATTTTGATTGCTGGACCTTGAGTTTTAGTCAGGCATGAGGAAATGGCCAAATAAGGGAGCAGACCTTGGGGGCCAGCTTTAGGACATAACCTAAGGCTCTTGGTGAGGCCGAGGGAATGGGGAGAAAGGCAAAGCCTGCTGGGCAGTGTTTGCCATGCTCTTAGAAAGCCCGTCACTGTGTCCTCTAGGCGAGGACTCGGGCTCGTGTTCTGGGCTTCCCTATCTTCCCAGCTTTGCCTGGTCTACAGGTCACCTCAGCCTCCAAGTGCTCTTATTACAGCTGTGCATCACTGCATGAGGCTTATTTAGGGGAGTACGGGTGTTTAGCCCGCATGCATGCGTGTGCGCCGCTTGTGTGCCTGGTGCCCAGGAGGCCAGAAGAGCCACGTTCCCAGACGGTGAGGTGACGAATGCTGTCCCTGGGAATGTTCCATCTGTGTTCTTCCCATGAGACCTGGCTGTGCTCATGGCGCTCATGGGGTCACGGGGTCAACAGCATTCACCAAATCTTGGGGTTCACCAGCATTTACTCATTGATTGTGGTGATATTTTGTTTATAAGTTAAAAAATGAAGCTTGCCTGAAGATCAGCATGCAGAGCTAGCCACCGTTAACCATGGAGACCAGGCGGTGGTGGCGCACACCTTTAATACCAGCACACAGGAGGCAGAGGCAGACAGATCTCTGTGAGTTCAAGCCCACCCTGAGCCACACGAAATTTATCCAGTCTAAAAGAGAAACAGAGTCAGGTAGTGGTTGCTCACACCTTTAATCCCAACGTTAGGGATATGGCTGGGCAGAGAGGAATACAAGGCAGTAGGAGACAGGAGTTTAGGATACAGTCTAAGGTTTCAATAGAGACAGCATTTGGCTTGAGGACTTGAGGAGACAGGACACCCCATTTGATCTGAGGATTTGTAGAGGTAAGAACTAGTGGCTGACTGCTCTGCTTCTCTGGTCTTTCAGCCTTCACCCCCTAATATCTAACTACGAGTTTTTATTATTAAGACTGTTTAGAATTCACGCTACAATCAGTCTGTTAAGTTCCAATAAATTCTGAGTCCTAGGACTGAGTCTTACTCTCCCAGGGCTCAACTAACTCCTGGCTACTCATCTGCCACCTCTCGGCTCCTCTGCAGCCCCCACTCACCCTGTTCTGTACGCTTTCAGCCTCCCGCTGGCCAGTGGTTTTCTCCTGTGGCTTTTAACTTCTCTGAGTCTCCACATCACCCTGTGAAGCCCACAGAGGGAATGGGCAAGGAGAAAGGTGGACTCACCTGTCTCCCCAACATTAGGAAGGCTGAGTCCGGAGATTGGGAGTTCAAGGTCAGCCTGAGCTGTATGAAACAGGTCCTCAAATAAACAAAAAAAAGAAGCCACAAAGATAGCTAAGGTGGCAAAGGCACTTGCCACTAAGCCTGGGGACCTGAATCGGACCACTGAGTCCCATAATGGTGGAATTTACTCCCAGCACTTGGGAGGCAGAGGCAGGCTGATCTCTGTGAGTTTGAGGCCAGCCTGGTCTACAGAGTGAGGTCCAGGACAGCCAGGGCTCCACAGAGAAACCCTATCTCAAGAACAAAAACAAAACAAAAAAAGAACAAAAAAGTTGTGCTGGGTCACAATCATGCTCTCACATGCGCATGCACATGCACGCACGGTTTATTTGCCCAGGATGGGCGTCCACATGTGACATCATGACATCCCAGCCACTCTGGAGACTGTAGGTCTGACTCATCATCACAGACTCTATGTCACAAAGTTTATTCCTACAAAAAATTCCTAAATAGGTGCTGGGTAGCTCACTCGGGGGAGCACTGGCTGCTCTTTCAGAGGATCCAGGTTTCCTTTCCAGCACCAACAGCAGCAGCTCACAGCTGTCCTTAGCTACAGTTCCAGGGGACCCACCTGGGTACCAGGTGCACATGTGCACATACATACCTGTAGGCAAAACAACCTCACACAAATTAAAATTGAGGAAGGTGCATGTGATGGGTGGGCAAGATGGCTCTGTGGGCGGTGTCTGCTGCCAAGCCTGACACCTGTTCATCCCCCAGGATGCTTTTTCCCCCTCAGACAGGGTTTCTCTGTAGCTTTGGAAACTGTCCTGGAACTAGCTCTTGTAGACCAGGCTGGCCTCGAACTCACAGAGATCCGCCTGCCTCTGCCTCCCGAGTGCTGGGACTAAAGGCATATGCCACCAGCACCCGGGTCCCCAGGACACACTTTTGAAAGGAAAGAACTCCTGAAAGTTTTCCTGACCTCGGCATGCCTGGTTGTGACAGGTGTGGCATGTGCCCTCCCCACATACACATTTAAAAAAAAAAAAACAAAAAACAAAAAAAAACAACTCAGTCCTGGCTGGTGGTGGTGGCCCACACCCTTAATCCCAGCATTTGGGAGGCAGAGACAGACAGATATCTGTGAGTTCGAGGCCAGCCTGGTCTTCAGAGGGTGGTCCAGGACAACCTTCCAAGACAGTTGCAGTTTCTACACAGAGAAACCCTGTCTCTTACCCCCCAAAACAAAAGAAAACAAAAAAACCAACTCAGTCTGTTCCTTATAGGCAGGTGGGCTACTGTACCCTCCCTGGAGATTCAGACTTTCTCAGGCCCCTGTGGGCCATGGGTAATTTGATCACTTCACCCTAGCTGGATCTGAAACCACACCCAGGAGAAGTAATCGATCAACCATTGCAGTCAGTGGGGAAGCAAAAATAAGGGAGTAAGAATGATGAGGAAGGTCTGAGTGGGGTATGGGAAAGCTGAACTCAGGAAGGCTGAAAAGGCAGCCTGTGGGCACAGGCTGGGACTGACCTCTTAGGGAGTTTGCCTGCACTTACCAGACCGAGATCAGCTGATTTGGCCACATGAGGATTTAAACCACACTGGCTGAAGGGACCTCAGGATACTGACCCTGGGCCAATTTTATTGCAAGCAATCAGACCTTTTATACACCCCCCATCCCCAAGCTGAGGACCGAACCCAGGGCCTTGCCCTCGCTAGGCAGGCACTCTACCCCTGAGCTAGATCCCCAACCCTGAAATCAGACTTTTTATACCTTTATCAGAAAGAATATAGTGGCCATTGCCAGGATCAGTACAGTTGTAGTTGCCAGGATACAGTGATGTTTGCAAAGTTTACAGACTACACAAGTTGAATGTCTAAGACCAATTGTCCTGAAAGCTCCCGTGCTATCGTGATTTCTGAGGGATCATACAGAGAAACACAAGGCAGTCTGAGAGCGTCACTGCCTGAGGGAGGAACCGAGAGGCCAAAGTGCCCCAGGAGCCGTGGACTCTAAGGCACTGGCTTTCAAGGGAGCAAGGCCTGACCAAAGCCATGAGTTCCCGCAGCACGCGAGGGGGCGTGTCCTCCGGCTCATTCCTCCAGCGGGCGGAAGGGGGCAGCATGAGGCTGTCGGTGATGGGACTGGGAAAGCCCAGAGTTGGGGGAATGAAGAAAACTGTGCTCGCTGTCAGAGGTCATAGCGATGGCACTTGTGCTCAAAGCTCAACAGGGATGAGTTTGATGTACCACAGCTGCCAGCCCATCTTTGAGAGATGGAGGCGGGAAGATTGTAAGTTCCACGGAGGTGGTTGGTGCGTGGCTCAGGGGTAGAGCGGCAACCTAGGATCCTACAAAGAGGGGGCTGGGGGTGTGGCTCATGGGTGGAGCGACAGACGGGATTCCCCAATGAGGGGCTGGGGGCGTGGCTCAGGGGTAGAGTGGCAGCCTAGGATCCTACAGGGAGGGGCTGGGGGCATGGCTAAGGGTTAGAGCTGCCTAGAATCACAGAAGCTGGCCTGTGGCTATGGTCTTGTGGAGGCTGAGACCTGTCCCCAGCCGTGGAGAGGGACGTCTGACTGAACTATTTGGGAGTGTTGCAGACAGAATGCTTGTTCTGAGGGCTCACAGTTTCCTCCATCACACACACACACACACCATTCCCATGAGGACAAGACGGCTGACCCATCAGCTGCCTGGATCTCAACTAGATGTGGACCTAGTATTTTGGGATTGACCAGTGATTCTTCTCCCGAGGAGACTAGCACCCCCACTCCTGGGAACCTAAACTTGGGGACAGAAAAGCTTAAGGACACGAGGTTTTTGTTTTTGTTTTAATTTTTTCTTTTTGTGACCACTAGCAATGGTAGAGAGCAGGAAAGAACAATGGGTGTATAACTCTGAGTACCAGCCCCACCCATCACACCCCTGGGTGACTGAGGAGGCTGAGGTGACATGGGAACCATAGCCTGAAAAGGCAAGGGCTGAGCTGCCATACAATTCAGTCGAGGGACCAGTCTGGTCACCAAGAGTGGACTCTGCTGGCAAGAGTGGAAGCAGAATCTAAGGAGCTGGAGACAAAGCAGGAAGTTGATGACACATCTGGAGCCCTTTCAAGGCCTTTAAACATAGCTCTGCCCTGTGCTAAGGGTGCACGTGCTCAAGACAAGGGCCCAGGAGGCATGCCTACACTGTAGCTCAGCCCCAGGCCAGCAGGCCTGCTGTCCCCAAACTTCCAGGCACAGCCACCCTGCCAGTTACCAGGGAGGCACCACTGGAGGCCAGGAAGGATACGGTTTTGTTTTGGGGATTTTTTTTTTTTAATTTTTGCAAGCTGTTGACCTCAAAGCCTTTCTCCATTTGACTCATGGTGCAGATGTACTATGCCCTCAGAGATCAGACTGTAATATCAGTTCTCACTTCAGGTGTGAATATGTGGGCCTGTCTTGCCAAAGCTGGGAGCAGAGCCTGAGGCAGGAAAATTGACAGCTTGAGGCTGCTGTGAAGTACAGAGGGAGATGGGGGAAAAGAAAACAGAGGCTCCTAAGGCAGCTGGGAGAGTGCAGACTTCAGCTCCTGGGTTCAAATCCCGAGGGACTCATGGAGCAGGGAAAGACTGAACAAACAGAATGGGCCGTTAGTCCATTCTGCGGACCTTTTGGCCTTTGCTTAGAGTCCCCTGCACGGGGACAGAACCAGACAGCAAGAGGCTCCTGGGCTTCAGCAGGTCTCCGGTTCTGTTTTTCGGTGGGATTTCCTTATATAGCCTTGAGTGGTTTGAGATTTTCTCTGTAGTCCAGGCTGACCATAAACTCACAGAAATCCTCCTGCCTCTGCCCCATGTGTGGGGATTAAAGGAGCCAACATGCTCATCTCTTTTTGGGCATGCACCCATGAAGGCCAGAAGGGGGCGTAGATCCCTTGGAGCAGAGGTTCCAGGCAGTTGGGAGCTGTAATGTGGGTGGCTTTAAAGGACTGGCCTGGCTGGCCTGGGACTCTGTACTCCTGATTGATTCTGAACTCCTTACATAGCCCAGGCTGGCCGTGGTCTTGCTCTGTAGCCCAATATGGCCTCAGACTCTCCTAATGAGTCAAATCCGGCTCTGCACTTGATCTCAGCCATCAAGCCCAGTTCTGTTTCTGTTATAACAGGAAGTGAAAGGCCCCAGGTTTCGTCACAGGCTGGCCAGCTGCGGGGAGTCAGGATTCGGGAAGGAATCCTGCACCAAAAAGGCAGGGAAATTGGTATCCAGGAGCCTCAGACCATGGCAGGAGGCCATGGCTGTTGCTACACATTGACCAAGGAGGAAGTTTGCTTGGAACATTCCAGACAGACCATAGTCAGCAGTGGGCTGATCCTACTTCCTGGCCTTTTTCGCATCAGCTCTCATTTGCCTTTTCCTTAGTTTTTTTTTTTTGTTTGTTTGTTTGTTCTGAAGCATTCTCTGTAGACCTGGATGTCCTGGAACTCACTTTGTAGACCAGGTTGGCCTCGAACTCATGGAGATCCTCCTGCCTCTGCCTCCCAAGAGCTGGGATTAAAGGCATGAATAGGTTTTCTTTTAAATGCAGGGTCTAATGTAGCCCAGGCTGGCCTCATATTTGCTAGGTAGCTGAGGCTGACTGTAAACTTCTGATCCCACTGCCTCAGCCTCCTTGGGAATGGCAATAAAAGATATAAGACTGGGGTGTCAATGTTCCTCAAGGCCTGGTTGGGAGTCAACAGTCTCCATCAAGCTATAGCCCAAGTGAGCCCCAAGCTTTTGTATTGGCTGTCTGTATTGACTGTGCTGTCCCAGTGTGCAGGAAGCAGTGGAGGCAGGAGGATTATTAGCTCGAGGTCGGCTGAGAGACAAACTTACTTGGAGTCAGATGGGCGCTGACACTTACCAGGCTTGCTGATTTCACCCCTCCAAAATATCCTTTCTTCTAAAAAGACAGGAACAGTGCTCACCTAACCTAAAGACCTCCCATGACATGTATCTCACTTGGTCCCGTCCCACCACCTAGAAAACTCCTTCACACCCCTCAAAGCCCTCTATTGGAATGCTAACTTAGGAAGCCCGCAGCACCCACCGGGCCCTGGTGACAGCGGTTCCAGTGAATGAATGACATTTTGGCAGGGATGCCGGCGCCTTGGCACTCGGCTGTCTCAGCGCTCTAAAGACTCCCGAGGCCTAGAGGGCGTCCACAGGCTGGAGAGGAGGGGGCGCTTCCGGCCGGGGTCTCCGGCGCTTCCGGTACGCTCCTAGAAGGGGCGTGGCCAATTGGGCCGCGGCGCTCAGAGCGTCTGGGCGGCGCGAAGATGGCGGCGGTGATGGCGGCGCCCGAGGCTGTGGCGGCACCGAGCTCGCTGCTGCTGCTGGTGGTGGGCGGCGAGTGCGGCTGCCCGGGACTGCTGGC